TAAGTGGGTAATACCCTGAGGCAGATTAGGGGTTAAAGAACACAGGGTGCTAAGTAGGACCCCCACTTTCTCTGCTCTGGTACCTGTTAGAGGGCCCAGGATACTGTTTCCAGATTACTTGAGGATTTTTTCTCAGCTCTTCACTTAGAATGACTATTAAGTCACCAGTTGTATTCAGGCCCACCTTTCTGCTTTTCTGATACCTTCAGAGACTCATTTTCTATATTCTGTAGTCAAAAGAGGGGACTTTTTGAAGCAAGTAGGGGGAAAAAAAAGAGGATAACACCTGAATTACAACTTGCTTGGATGCAAAAGTCCTTTGTACTAAACAAGGGATACTTCAGCAGCACCGACCCCAGAGAGGAGTGGCTGCCTTGTGTGTGTGTGAGACAGACAGAGAGAGAGAGAAGGAGAGCGAGAGAGCACGCGCATTTGGTAGGAACATCCTCCCAGCGTGTCCAGACATGTAGTGGAATGACAAGACAAAATGTAGTGTTGACAACTGACTTATGAAAGGTTAAAACGTTACACTTTTGTTCCCAAGCTCTCCTGTTGAACTGAAAGTAATCCAGATACTATACTACAGAAGGCACTATGTGTGATTCTAAAAACGCTTCCTTTATATGACTTCTCATTAAGTATGCTTTCTAATCTTACCTGTAAGTGCAATTACTAATATCTTTAAATCAGTGGAAGAAACCAAGGGGGGCAGGGCAATGGGTGTTGGGAAGAAGGTGACCCTGATGGTGGTAGGGCAGGCAAGAGCACGAGAGTCCAGCAAAACGCAGACCAGAGTGCTTTTTACTGTGCCGCACAGTACGCGCTGCTCGTAGGGGCCCTAGAGCAGAAGGGCTTTGTTGGGGAGAAGTCAACAGGATCCTCTTCCTGAAGAATTACGCAGGTATCTGGACTCCTAAAGACCTAGAAAAGTGTATTCTTGTGTGGTGCCTGCTCTAACGGCTGCCTCCCTTTTGCACAGTTCTCATGTGTGACCTGCTCCAGGGGGACCAACCCCAATTCAGTGGCCCTGTTATTCTGTTTGCCATGAGCACTATTTCAAGTGCTGGGTGGGCCCAAAGCCAGCACTGAACAGATAACTGATTAATGTTAAAACTATTTAATTGTGAGCTATGTGGGGGGATAACGCAGAGAGTTTCAAACTGACCCTAATATGAGAACCCTACAGATCATCTTGATCTAGCAGCTTCTTACATCTTCAGGAAGGCACACGGCTAAGTCATATAAGACAAGTAGTTGTGAAATATATGCAGAAGGCTGCTAGGGACATTCAGTTAAAAAACCAAACACATCTGAAAGTAGAACTGGAAGGCAACTGTCATGCCCTACAACCCCAGCTTCCACCCTTTCTTGGTGCCGCACTGTTTCTAAAGCAGGCTGGCACTGTTTATGAGATCAGTTCTCCTCGCCTAGTTCTGAAGAGGTGCAGTTCTTCTCAGAGTAAATGGAGAGGCTTTGGCTTAGGAAGCCATTTCCCAAGGAAACCACAGCCCAAACCTGAGTTTTGTCTTGGTTTCCAAATCCCCATACCTTGTCACCTGCAGATGTCTAGAACAGGGCACTAAGACAAGCAATGTTTTAAGCTCATTGTTCAGCTCATTGGGTTCTCAAACTAGTATAGGGCCAAAGATTTAATGGAGGAAATATCAGGTCCTACATGGCCAAGTTGTTTGTTACTTTTGGTCTACCAGCTCTTCAAAATCATAACAATGGGATGACATAATGGATGTCAGAGAGAAAGAGAACAAGACTCGAGGCTTCCACAGCAGGAGGCAGCTGTCTGTTGTTGGCTATGGGTGACCTCCTGAGTCTCTTCTATCCCTGACAATATCTAGTGATTGGTTCAATTGCTTCTGTACTGCTGCAATGATCTAGTCTCGCTCCAGGATCCTACAACCAGCTGTTTGGTGGTTCAGAAGGAACCCAGCTCTGGGGTTGCCATACTTCAAAATGTGGGTTGCTGCTTCCCATGTCCTCCAGACTTGTCCCTTGGAAGGTGAAGGTAAATGTATTCTTCTGGACAGAAGACCCCAATTTCAATGGAAACTATCCCCCAGAGTGGTTCAAATTCAGAGCATCAAAACAGCACCATTTGAATTCAATAGTATAAACTTCTAGGGGTTTTCAAACTCCACTTGAGCATCAGAATCACCTGGGGAGCTTTTTCAAAATGCAGATACTGGGTTCTAACTTTGGAGTTTCTAGCCCAATGGCTTAGAGGAAAATCTTGGAATATTTCTTTTAGAAAGCGCCATGTTATACTAAAGTACATTGTGATTTGAGAGTCTGTGTGTTTAGAGATAGAGGCCTAGGGGCCAGAAGGAGGAATGCTCCAGGGGGAGAAAGGAGGAGGGACAGAGAAGAAGAAGGAAGGAAGAAGAAAATGGCCATAGAAAGGTCAAAGCAATTATAGAAATTGTCTGAAAGCAGGAGCATTGGGCTGGAAGGTGTTTCCACCATGAATACCGAAGTACAAGGCTATCTCTCAGCTTTAGGGGGCTGTGTGTGTGCCTGTGTGTGCACACACACACAAAACATGGCCATTCGGGAAAGGTGCTGGGAAACTCAGAGAGAGGCATGTCCCATGAGCCTGGGACTGTTCCTTCACCTCTGACACTTTTTCCATTTTCATCCTGAGCTCTGTCACACACACCCCAGGGGAAAAAGCACAACACAGCTGCTGAAAATTGGTAGTTGCATTTCTGTGCTTGTTCTCATTCCCTACTCCAGCTGTCATTACGACAGTATTTCTTTGGGTCACATCTGGCTGCTGGAGTATCAATGACTTGTGGTTGGGGAGAGGGAGGGAGTGATGAAGGAAGATCACAAAAATACATCAGGGCCATCAGCAAAGTAAATTATACCTATTCCCATCAACCCCACACCCACCCACCCACTGCCACCCTGCCCTCAATTTGCTGCCATGGGAGGTGTTTCCATAGCAACTTAAGGCATGGGTTTGAAACTCACATGAGGAGGCTCCAAAGCACAGTACCATACAACCACAATTTCATGGCCCAAAGGCAGAAACTGCCCATTTGCAGAAGGATGCTTCTGTCCTTGGCTGGCCTGAGGGGTCCACCCAAGGCAGAAGCACCAGTTAGGGCCACTGGGAAAGTCGATCAGCTTTGCTAAATGAAATAAATTTGCCTAAGTATGATAAGTTCAATTCCCTCTCTTCGTACAAATCATTTTAAACCAGTTCTTATTCATCATGGGCCTAAGAAATGTTTTTCCACGTTTCATTTTAGTTTGAGGAAGGGGTGATTTGACCTTTGTCTTCTTTTGGAAGTATCACAGCACAGCAACTCTCCCAGAGCGGCTGCGGCTGTGCCTCTCTTACCCAGCTGAAACCTAGTGTGTTTCCCTAGACTGAGCTTTTCAGTCTGAACTGGATGTTTTTTAGATCTGAATTCTCAGTACCTAGAAGCACCCCTGGCATGTGAGGAATGCTCAATAGATGTTTGCTAGGTATAGGTGCTCAGGCAGGTTTCAAGTAGTCATTTACACAGAGGTACAAATTTCACAGCAACACAGGGTTTCAGCATGTGGACTAAAACACAACAACTGGGAAAAGAGGGCTTTGAAGCAATAAGACCTGATGCTTATTAAAAACTTTAGAAGCTACAATATGCTGTATCTCATCTTTGTGCTGTTACAAAACTTTTCTGATTCAGAAAAAAGTCAACATTCCTTGTCGCATTAGTTCCTCTCTATCTGGCCCCTCTGCTCCGTGCGAAGGCATTCACACCCCCCTCCCCGACTCTCCCCCGCTGTAGCCTGTAGGCGTTGTTCCCTAAGCAGGCTCTTACTGTGGTTTTCAGGATGGCCAAATAAATTTGACTATTTGTAAAAGGCTAGATGAGATGGTATTTTCAAGAATGGCAACAAACATTTTTTACCCAAGTGTTGGAGAACAACACTGGATTCTGGCAAATCTCATTTCATGCGGAAACAGGATACTATAAAGAATTATGTTTTCCACCCTGGCTGGTGTGGCTCAGTGAATTGAGCACCAGCCTGCGAACCAAAGGGTCGCAGGTTCGATTCCCAGTCAGGGCACATGCCTGGGTTGTGGGCCAGGTCCTCAGTAAGGGGGGCACGAGAGGCAACCACACATTGATGTTTCTCTCCCTCTCTTTCTCCTTCCTTTCCCCCTTCTCTAAAAATAAATAAAATCTTTTTAAAAGAAGAATTATGTTTTCCATAGTGTTTACAAACAATGGATTTAACTTTGCCAGAATAAAGAGAGCTCAAAGATGGTGCATGTATCTGCCTACAGGACAGGCTACACAAAAATTTGGCACTTCAAAGGTTGTCAAACTAGTGTTGGCTGGTGGGTAATAAAAGGGGCACCTTTAAAGCAAAATCTTCACTGTTGACTGGTTGACACTTAAGAAGTACTGTTTCTAAATATGCATCACATAAGCAGCAAAGTGTTTTGTTGGCAGTGAAAATGACAGCGATGTATTTGTCTGGACTATTCTAATATGATTCAGTAAGATTAACGTGAGAAATAAAAGTATAATAGCATGCTGTAATGCTACACCATTCAATAAAAATGGCTTCTTTTTAGAGGACCAGGCCTGACTTTTCTCTTTACTCCTAAAAATTAATAATCAATCTGTCTTTTGGGGGCAGAGGCAGGACAAGGATAAGAAGAGAAGAAACCCAACAGTGAGAAAGGGAGTGAATGGCAACCTGGTGTCAGGCATCAGGGACATGCCATGCCAGTTTCGCACTAGAAACAGTTGAAGACACACCGAAAGATGGCATTTTCTCTTAGGCTGGTGGGCAGAGAGAGACTCATTAGGGTGAACATCTATCTCAAGCTTTGTGTCTCATAAAAGGCCTGATAGAAATCAAAGAAATTCATTAACCTCTCCATCAAAATCATGGGGAGGATGAATAAGGAGAGCCAAGGGAAGGAGGTCCTTGTAGACTTCCGGACTCCCTGCCTCTGCGCGTCACAAGCTACGTACCCAGTAGAGCACGTCTGTCCAGCCCTCCATGGTGATGCACTGGAACACCGTCAGCATGGCGAAGGCGAAGTTGTCGAAGTTGGTGATGCCGTGCCTGGGCCCATCCCACCCAGGCTTGCACACGGTGCCGTTCTGACACTGCCGTCCATGGCCTGTCTCCAGAGCACAAGGGGAGGGGTCGTCTTCTGCTGGAGCATCTCAAATGGCCAGGGGAGAGGAGAGAACAGAGGGGAGGGAGAGATGGGAAGAGAAAAAAGGAGTGAGAAGTCAGAGAGGAAAGGGATAGAATAAGGTGGATGGGATAGGCACAACCACCACGGTGACGGTGATCAGAACACATTTTCATGCGTTCCCTCATCTGAACTAAACAACATAAGGAACTAGGTACTCATTTTAGGCTGCTGTTGATTTAGAATGTTAGTACATTCAACCAACTGCTGTTAAGCCACATTTTAAGCCCAGCGATTGGTTTCAAGCACAGTAGGGCTACTGCACATTCTGTTGTAACATGTCAGCATCATAGTCAAATGGCCAATCAAAAAATAAGAATCAAAAAATCAAAAAATAAGAAGGAAAGAATCACTTCCTGACCTCCGCTCAAGGCAGAGCGGTGGTGGGCAGCAGGGAGACCACTGTGTCAGTATGGACAGGGCTTTTTCAGGAAACAGTTCAGGAAGAAGTCAGGAAGAAAATGTTAATCCTTAACTATGAGATAATTCTTAAGAGAATGGAGTTGAGCACTATGGCTGGAAATATATGCTAAATTGTGTCTTCTTGGCTTTTTCTTCTTTCCTCTCTCATTTTAACAGCTTTATTAAAATATAATTTACATTTTTTACAATCCATGAATGTAAATGTACAGCTCAATTATTTTTAGTAAATGTATATGGTTGTGCAGTCATCACCACAATCCATTTTAAAACACTTCCATCATCTTCCAAAATTCCTGTGTGCCTGTTTGCAGTCAGTCCCTATCGACATGATCTGCATTCTGTCACTATAGCTTTGCCTTTCTAGAAATTTCATATACATGTACATTTTACTGTCTGTTTATCCATTCACCAGCTAGTGGGCATTTGGATTGTTTCCAGGTTTGGGCTACTGTGAATAGCGCTGCTTCCTGGCTCCTCCTCGGCTGGTGCTTCAGGTCGCACAGGAATGTCTGTGCGATCACTGAGGTGTACAGGTCTGCATCACACAGGGGCCTCTGAGCTGCCTAGAAAATGAGCATCCACACCATTTCCCAACTCCAGACACTGGCTCCCTGGAGGGCTCCTTCATGTAGCTGAACTCTAGTCAAATTTTTGTGACTTTTGAAATCTTGAAATCTTCGGAGACTTGGATGTGAGTATAAATAAGGGGAGGCTATAAAAAAAGGCAAACTAAAAAGGGAATACCAAACCCAGAGAATTAGATAATAAGCACCTAAAATATTGAGAGTTGAGAGACTGGAAAACCAAGAGTCAAATAGATCATAAACTCTGTTGTGTTCTCATCCATTCTAGTGATGGTTTTCTAGAATGATGTGTTCAGTCACTGTTATGAAAGCACTGGAATACTATGAAAGATAGGACGAAAAGAGAAGGGAAAAGCACGAGACTTGCATCAATTTTCTCCTGTTTTGCTTTTTAGTGCAATAGAGATGCTATCAATCTTTGCATTGTGAATGCTAATCTGTCATCTTTCCCTGTGTTCCCAGTTCCTGAGATGAGCAGAAATAAGGAAAATGTGAAGGATGGCAAAGTGAGTTCTGAGTGTCTTAAAGAAAAGAAAACATATTTTGAGTTTTTACAATTCTTATGTTGAAAAGAAATAGCATGAAGGGGAAGTGATCTTTAATAAAAGAGAAAGGGTTGAGATTCAGAAAGATTATCTAAAGGCTCAAGGTCCACTCTCCTATTTTAAATCTGTCTTGAACAACAATAAAAAAAAACAAAAGATTTGAGAACAATTAAGAAGCAGCGATGATCTGGTAAAAATAGGTATCTATAAAAAGCACTAAAGGGAACACTTGAAAAATGTGAACACGCACAGATCAGCGGGTCTTTACAACATGCACCTGGAGAGTGAGGGGAAATTAGCTCTAATGGGAAAATGCGTTCGTTTTCTTCTGCAGAGTCATAACACCCTGGGTGGGGGCCGGGGGGAGGGTAGGAACCTTAGGGGAGAGGAAGAAACAAAGCAACATGGATAAGGAGGGTAGCATCATTCTGGAAAGCCCAAATTAAGTTTGCAGTAAAATAATGGCAGCCAGGTTAGGAGAGATTTTCGAAATGCAGTCAATACCAACAACACCGTGAAATCTTGGGAGAGTGCCAGTTGGGGATTCCAGGGAGAAATACGAAAGACAAAATCAATTACTTTTTTAGGACTCAATTTTAAGGAGTGAATAGAGTGAAAGTGATTTCATTTCTAGGTTTTAGGCAACCCATTCTTTGCCAGTCTCAGGAGTAATTATTGTGCTTGGGAGAGCCATTCCGAGTGACCTGGCTCGAAGCACCATCAGACAGATGGGACAACCAAAAACAAAAAGTCCCAGCATATGGTGATGTATCTGTGGGAGAACGAGGAAGGCACCTTCCAGATGCTTCAGGGATTGTGAAAATAGTGCCTCTTCTGAGATCACCTCTCCAGGGTGCGAGGGCTGCATACACAGCACAGTGGTTCACCTGGCCAGCTCCATGTCTTTCTTTATAGATTTTATAGAAAACATGGCTCAAAATCTAATGTAGTCTAAAATTTACAAGAACAAAATTCAGTCAGAAAAAGAACCTCAAAGTGGAAAAAGAACAATTTGATGTAAATTTCATTAAAAACTCTAACAAGGGCTCACAAGCACTTTCATATAATCTAAATTTGTAGAAGATACGGTATATCAATATAAAGTCTACAATTTTTTTTTTTTTAAATCACCCATTCCAAAGGTGGTACAAAACTCTCCAAAACATACAGGGATTGGTTTCAAAGGCTGCAGGTTTTTGGTTTTCTACTCTGGCTGCATCAAGCACGGCCAGGTCCCTGCACATTTTTTCTCCGCATCAGCATTAGTTGCTGTGTGGGCGGAAGAGGCCTTGATGACAGCGGCACCATGCTCTGTCAGGAGCGATGGCGTGGTCCCTGGACTGTCGTCAGACAGCAGGGTTAGGACGGAGGAGACAGGTGAGCTCCTGACTGCAGTGTTGAGAGGAAAGGCTCCTGCAGCCAAGTGTCCTTGGTCCCTCTTCCCAGCAGGGACTCTGGCTCCACACAGAGAGCAAGGTCGCCTTCCTGGTGGAGCTGGCAGGGCTCCCCTCTCTGGGACACTTCTCTCAGTGTGTGGCCTCTGACAACACAGCTCCCAGGGCTGACAGCCGTGTTCATGACGAGAGCCACCTTCGCTTCTGGACTTGCGGGGTGATGGTAAAACTCACCACATAAGTAATCTGATGCATCTTCTGGGACTTTTCCTGGTCCTGTTTACTATCAAGGAGGGACACTAATATGGCCCTATGTTGGCTACTGCAATTGGTGAGGCCAGTTCTGGCCTTTATCCTAAAAGCAGGGAGGTCACTAAAACTTTTAGCAGGTGAAGTGGCTGTTTCACCAGACTGTCCAGCAGCAGCATGGAGCCAAGTGTCCTGCCCTTATCTCCCTTGTCTACTATGCCCACCATTCCCTTGCCATGTGAGGCCACCGAAGGCCTCAACACAGCCCAGTGACTTCTCACCAACATTCAGGCTTGCTTGCTAGCACAGGCCCTTGGAGGACCCTGCCACCATCACTTTTGCTATTTTCCCAGCAGGATGACAGAGCCATGTGCAGTTTGGGGAACAGTGCCCCTTCGCTAAGTGCTGCACAGACACTGGGTCGCAGGGCAGGGCTACCCTCTTTGGCTGTACGGCAGGATTTCACCATCTCACTCTCCCCAACTTGGTATGTTGCTGGTGAGAGCCACACCATCAGCCACCGCTGAACTGATGGGGGCCTTTGAGACTCAAGATCCTGGTGACTGTCTGAGGAGTTTGGGTCAAATGGGTCATCAATCACTTCAATACACCTGCACAAACTTTAGACATATTACAGTCAGCTCTTAAGCAGAACTTACAGTAGGCTCTAACAAAGCCACAAAACTAATATAAATTTAATGGCTCAGGGCTAGCTACACTCAAACGGCACATAAGGAAGGATTTGAACTCAAGGGGAAAATATTATTCATTGCATTATCTGGTATTTCTTTAAGCAAGGCTGGAACCTCAGAATTCTAGCTAAAGGCAAGACCTGTTAGTTCCAATATTAAAGAGCTTCCGTTTTTGTTTTTTAACATGATAGTTTATCTTATACAATTATGATCCAAGTAATTTGGAAGTTCTCTCTGTAGTGAAAAAAATAGCCTCCAATTAAACAGACTCTCCATCCGAAAAAGTAAAAAGAGCTGTGTGAGTGTGACTATGGATTTAGAGTTTTTGTTTGTTTGTTTGTGGCGGTGACCTGGCGAGCACAAGCACTCAGCACATCCGACCCACCCAGATTACCCAGGTCAGGTGCTCCATTCTGTTTTCTCACTATCTTACTCCTTGTTGTATGGATGATATCTTTCCTCAGCCCCCAAAAGCAGGAGGGGTCAAACTGAATTTAATTTCTGGGCTGAATGTAAATGAGAAGCAGGAGATGGAGAGAAGTTAGGTATCTTTTAATGCTTCAAACATGCTCCCCTTTCTTCACCAAGGCACCAAAAACTAGGATGCAAGATGTTGTTTGAGGGAAAAAAAATCATGGAAATTTAATATTACTAACCCCTTGTTGGGAGGGGTATATTTTCCAACAAGTTTTTATGTTATGCTACTTTATATGTCTGTTTAAAAGCCTTGTCAATTTCTGTTTATATGTTTTTTTTAAAGGTCAAGCTGAGATTTTAGTAACTTAATACAGCAGTTTATATTATCTCCATAAGTCAAAACTCTAAACCTACTCAAGGAAGTGCTTAATGAGCCAGCATTGCTTGCAAAATAAATTGACTTATGGAAGGACCATGGAGAGCAGAATCTCAAAAAGGAAAGGATTGCAGGAGAGCGGTCCTGAGGAAATCATGAGGTAGAGCAAAACCTCCGCCTGCAGGAAAAGAAGCTTCAGTGCTGGCAAGGAGGCGGTCCCACACCTGCCGTCCTCCTCCCAGCATGAGATACGGGGCCAGGGGCTCTGCTTAGGCACAGAGAAGCGAAGAACATTAAGAGAAGGGAAGTTAGGGTCAGTCCCCAAGGACTCAGCCTGCTGGATACAGACAAAGCTGCTTTCCTGGAAGGGCTTCTGATGGTGAGCAACACTGAATAATTGACAGAGCAGAGCTCTACAGTCCCCAGGTTAGTTCTAATTCTTACATGAAAATATTCAAGATTGGCTAAGTGATGTTTCTGGATTTGCACAGCTCATTGAAACAGTGTTTAGTAGTGCTGGACAAGGCTTGCATTTAGCTGTTTTAACAGAGATCTATTTTAGTAAAGACAAAAATTCCAAGAGAAAAAAGAATACCAGTCTCTGCCTCTCACTTAACCATGGTATGGAGACATGAACACTGGAGTGGAGGGACCTTTCCAGGCACCACTGGTCACATGGTGGCAGTGTCCCTGGATGAATGGAAAATAGTGACCACACAGTGAAGCATCTGGAGAACTGGCTGGCCAGTATCTTCCCTTACCTGCTATGCCTTCCTGGTTGTAGCAGGTCTTATGCATCTTCCCCATGAAGAGCTCCAGGCCAATGATAGCGTAGATGATGATGACAAACAGCACTAGCAGGGCGATATGCAGCAGGGGGACCATGGCCTTGATGATGGAGTTCAGAACCACCTGGAGACCTACATCAACAAATCACACACAGTGACAACAGTGAGAACACCAGCTTCCATGTATTGAACTACGTGCTGTCTTGGATGCCATACTGACACAATGTCATGCAATCTTCCTAGCAGCTGTACCAGTAGTGTATCATGCGCCCTGTTTTTGAGATGAAGAAACTGAATGACAGAGCAGGAATCTACATCTGGGTTGGCCTGACTCCAAGTCTCTCCTAGAGGCTCATCCAAATGAAAGGGTAGGCAGGGGTATACTTCCAAAAGGAAGAACATGTTATTTTCACCCAAAACTATCCAATTTTCTAATACCCCAACTTAAAGACAATCTAGCATCTTCTCCTAGAGCAGCACCTCACTGCAGAGAGTGCTCACTTTGACTAGAGATGGCCATGCAAGGACTTACTGATCACTCAAGAGCCTATGGCTGACCCATCTGCTATCAAACAGGGGAGCCCAGTAACAGAGCATCAAGGGGGCGGGACTTCCTTTGCTGAAACTGACTCATACCTTAGGACACATCTGGGTGGTGAGATCTCCCTGAGAGGGCTGAGGAAGTAGCTCTGAAAACACCTCTCTGGATAACATGAACAGACCTCTCTTCCTACAGATTTCTCACCAGTGAACTTCCCTCAAGACCCAAGTCTGCAGAACATCATAGCCTTCCATTCAAAAACCCCACTGACTCATGGACATGGACAACAAAATGGTGATTGCTCGGGAGAGGAGGGTATGGGGGACTAAATGGTAATGGAAAAAAAATACAATGAAGATTAAATTTTAAAAAAACCCACTGAAGGAAGTTTGCATTTAATGGGTATGGAATTTCAGTTTGAGAAGATGAAAAAGCTCTAGAGGCAGATGGTGGTGGTGGTGGTTGCACAATGTTAGTAGACTTTGTGCCCCTAAACTGTACATTTAAAAATGGTTAAAATGGTAAATTTTGTTACGCAAATATCATTACAATAAAATATTTTTAAAGTACTCAGATCCCTTCAAGAAAAAAAAAGTAAATGAAAAGCTCTATTTAGAACGTGGGTCTTGTCAGTGCACCCCAAAGGAATGTAGGCTTGTACTATTGGTTTCTGGGTAGAAGGACCCCCTTACCTATAAGCTCAACCATAAATAACACATCAAGAATGCTCTCTCTTTTTTTTTTTAAGATTTTGTTTATTTTCAGAGAGAGGGGAAGGGAGAAAAAGAGGGAGAGAAACATCAATGTGAGAGAGAAACATCAGTTGGTTGCCTCTTGCGCACCCCCAACCAGGGACCTGGCCCGCAACCCAGGCATGTGCCCTGACTGGGAATCAAACCTGGCGACATTTTGGTTCACAGGCCTGAGCTCAATCCACCGAGCCACACTGGCCAGGGCATGAATGCTCCTTGTTTAAAGGGGATGTTGCAAGTTTCTGTTTGCAAATGCCAAAGCGGTAGTCACAGGGAAGTCACCCACAGACTACTTCTAATCCCAAGAAAATTTTCTGTCAACAGAGAATGCATCAAATCTGCACATCCTAGGAGAGATATGCGGGAAGGGCAGGCTCTCCTTCCTTACATCTAGCCAGCTGTGCAGAAAATCTTCCGTGGGCTACCTCTGATACACGTATGATAAGACACTCATCTCTGATTCACACCACAGAGGGCACTTTCAGTGTTGCTGTCTGACTTTCCCACCCACCACGGACATCATCCCCTTCTCTAGTATTGGAAGCTTCATGTTTGTATTCACCCACTGTCCCCCTCTCTGGGTAAACAAAGGCTGGGCCACAGCTCCCCAAACTGCAGGGCAGCCACCGGCACTTGAGATCTAGTGAGGTGGTTTTCACAAGGCTAATTAGAAGAATTCTCCCCAGCTATAGCCAAGCTAGGAGAGGGAGGGAGGGAGGGAGGAAAGAAGGGAGGAAGGAAGGAAGGAAGGAAGGGAGGAAGGAAGGAAGGAAGGAAGGAAGGAAGGAAGGAAGGAAGGAAGGAAGGAAAGAGGAATAATTTTACCTGTGGAATTAAGGAGTGCTTTGTAGCCTCCCATTAGAACAAGATGTTTTCTGATCCAAATGATTCCATTAATTAGCAAATTGTATACACATTAGTGGTAAAGGATGCAAAGCCATGAGAAAATTGAAAATTGAACTGTAAAGAATCTTTCAGAGATGTCTGCTGCAGAGAGAGCGTGCTAAGGGCTACTCACAGAAAGGGGAGGGGACCCTATCTGGGCTACCCAGGCCATGAGGCGCCTCTGTCATCAGCCTTCAGTGCCAGGGCCTCAGATGGCAAGAAAATAGGGGCAGACAATAGGGAAACTCTGTTGTGCTATGGCCAGAGGGTCTGCTCTTAGAATAAAGACTGAATCCTTCTCATGCCCTACAAGGCTCCAGAGGGTCCAGCCTGCCCACCTCTCCAACCCACTTCCATCCCCTAACCCTCACTCTTTGGTTAAACAGCTTTTCTTTTAGACTCAAATATGATATACTTCTCCCTCTACCTGGCCGTCACAATGCTGTTCCCTCAGCCAAAACACTTTTCCACCATTCCCTCCTCCTTTGTCTTTGGCTCTCAGCCCAAGTATCTCTCTTCCTTGGGATACTTCCCCAAACTCCCACACCAGAGAAGTTTTCTTTCTTACATGTCTTCTTGGAACAATTTCCTTTCCTTTGGAGCATTAGTTTCAGTTTGGAATCATATGTTCATTAAATGTTTTTTTTTTAACATTTGCATCTGTCTCTCACTTGGGGCTGAGTTTTGTGAAGATGGGAACTGTCCGTTCTTTGCATCATAGCTAAGGCTTCTCTTGTGGCTGAGCACATGGCAGGCACTCAGCGTTTGCTGAAGGAATGGCACCCAATCTAAGGAAACACTGCTGCTGTTGTGGAGCTCTGACAGGCTTTGCTGCAGAGTCTGCTGGACAGAGAGGGCTCTGAGTGACCAGGAAGTTTCTGGGGCTCGCAGACCAGAGCAGAGACTACTGAGTGGGATGCAAAGAAGCCAGAAGGAAGTCCCAGCAGACTGGGGGCTTCCTTTCAGCCATAGGGATGCTCCAGAATTCCTAGAGTGCTGGTCCCCTGTATTTTGTCTCAGTTGGTGGCCACCCCAACCACCTGAGCACCCCGGCCAGGAGATGGATCCCCCATCAATGGCCAAGTCCTGTCAGCCTGATTCTGAAGTATTATAGACACATTCAATTATTTTTACTATATAAATAACATACTAAATATAGAGAAAATGGAAAATATTTATGATAGAGAAATTGGAAAACAACAGGAAACAAAAAGGAGGAAAATATCACCCATTACCCTACTACCCAGACATAATCACTGTTAGACTTTTGGTATATTTTTTGGATATTTTGGCCCATGACTCGTTTTCCTCCTCTCCCTCCCAGTGGTGTCCATGATTTGCTTAACTAGTTTCCCCACGTTCAGTTTTGCTGAATTTTCACACCGCAGTTAGAATGCTCTACTAAAGCACAAACTGGAGCATGTTTCTCCCCTACTGAAGTCCTCCGATGACTCCCATCACCCACAGGTAAAATTCACCTGCCTCCTGCCACAGGTTGACCACATCTGATTCTAGTTAATACCATGTTCCAGAAATATATCAAACTGCCTGAACTGTGAATGCAGTTCATGCCTCTCTAGCTCAGCAAATGCTGTTCCCCATGCCTAGAATGCCATTCCCTGCCTAACTGAGAGCCCCTGGGGCCTCCCCTCATCTCTGCATCAGTGCATAGTAGTGACTCAATGCACACAGAGCTAAACCACAGGTTGTTCTCAGAAGACAGAAACCTCAATGACAAAGAATTTGAAACCATGTCATTTGATGCTCTTAGAAGGAACTGAAGATGTGTTGTCAGGAAAAAATAAGTCTCATGGAATGGAAAAAAGTACAGGCAGGAAGAGTGATATCAATGATTTTCACATGATTTAAACCGCAGTTTTGAGGTGGAGGAGTTAGATGAGTTCTGTGTGACCAAAGGGATGGAACTACGTCCAACTAGGAAGTGTTCAGAATGGATTTAGGTTCAACACAAATAAAAACCATCCAAGAAACAGACCTTTGTGATGGTGATGTTGGATGCTTTAAGAGGATGCTTCTCACAGGTAGTCAAGCATGGACTAAATAAGCTCTTGGAGGAGATGCATTGGTGGGGATTCCGCCCTTGGGTAAAGGATTTCCCTGGCACACCAGAGCCCCATACCCTCATTAACATGTTCTGAAGACTAACAGTGGGTCATGTGCAGCTCTCAATGCTCTACTCAGATTATTCCATTTCCTCCTGGCAACAACCTTATGGAGTAGGTACTATTATTAATCACATTTTACAGTTGAAAAAAGGGAGTCCCAGAGAGGTTCAATGGCCTGTCCATAGTTGCACAGCTGGTGTCTGGTGGCAGGGAGTGTAATGACAGATGGCCCGCATCCATAGCCTGTGGGCTTCCCCATGCCCTATAGATCGAGGTTCTCAGCCTCCACAGCCTATGGCTACGAAGCAGTCACACAGGCTTACAACATCTTCCAGGAAGGAATAGGAGCCTAGTCCCTGCTTCCAGAAGAGCCCAGATGTTTCCAAGACTAGTCCCAGGAAAGGCCTCACATTTCTGCCTGCTCTCCTCACAGCCAGCCTGGGATAGCAGTAGCCAGGCTGGTGGGTGAAGGCATGGGGCCAGGATTTCTTCTCTCCGGTCCATTATAAGCATTTGGCTCTCAGGCCTGGATACTTAATAGCTTCTTTCTGGAACTGGTTTACCACTGTCCCACAAAGACCTCCTCTAGCTCAGGTTCTAATTTAGAAAACATAGTGACATTTCTCCACCCAAGTTTTCTCCTCAGACCGGTCATGTATATGGCTGATAAGCATTTGCTAGACCCTTCTTCAGAGCTGGCTGATCACACTGGTGGAAGTAAATGAGCCTTTGATAAGCCCGGTGAAAAAGCTGTTACAAAATGCTCTGTGACTACAAGATCATAAGGCTTACATAGATGATGATTCTATTTTCCTTACCCCAAATCAG